GGATTTGAACCGCCAGCCTTCTGGTTAGCAGTCAAGTGCCTTAGCCACTATGCTACCAGAGCTCCCAAACAGGCATAGAAAATAGGATTTACAATACATCACAAAATGAGTGGTGACTTGAGTCATACCCTCCAGCAAAGCAGGACTCAAGATGCATGCCACCCTAAATAGGCTTAATATGACCCTTCTAGCCATCGTTCTCCATTTTGTGACAGAAAGGGGATCTCACTGCTATCAAGAGAGAAGAGCTGAAGGTGAAGTGGAGCACATCCTTGGACCTGACCTCCCTGCCCTGAACCTCCTTGGCTGAAAGACACCCTAGCAGAGAGACAGTGGCAATGGAACCAAGAGGCATGGACAGAGCAGAGAGACGTGCCTGAGAGCATAACAGAGAGGAGACTGTCCTGACTGAAGAATTGTATCCTGAGTACATTCCTGAACCTGAATTGTAGCCTAATAAACCCCATAATCATGAGTATTGTCTGTGAATTCTGTGTGGCCATTGCAATGAGTCATCAAACCCAACAGAGAAGTAGTGAGTGCCTTGGGAGGGAAGGTTAGTGTCAGAATTGGTGAAAGGCTAGAGGGTGGTGGCATCTCTGGCCTCACAGGAATAAACCTTGGGCTGCTGGTGGTGATTCTGTCTTCCTCTTGTGAAATTAGAGGAGGTCAGAAAATGCCTCCTCCATGGCCTTTTTGCAGGTGTATTGGCCAGAAATTGAAACAGGGTCTCCTGCATGAAAGGCAAGAATTCTACCATTGAACAACCAATGCCCCAATTTTCAGATTGTTGTTGTTGTTGTTCTGTGCCGTTGAGTCGGCCCTGACTCATAGCGACCCCTCCTTGGGTTTCTGAGGTGATATCACTACGGAAGTAGATTGCCCAACCTTCCTTCTGAATTTTCAGATTAAGTGACCTGAATTTAGCAGTGAGGGGAAGAACATCTACTAGGCCTGGTGGTGGTATAAGTGAGTTGGCTAAATCAGGCATGGGAACTGAGTTTTAATCTCTAAGCCATTATGAGTTTTGAGAAAAGCATGGTTGGAAGTTTTCTTAGCAGCTAGCTCACAGCCCCTGGCCAATTGAAGCCACAGTGTGCCCTGCTGGCTTCAGACCCTGTCCTCTCGTGGCTGCATTTCAGGCCAAAGTTCCCGTAGGAGGCTGAGTCAGCCTTGCCTTTGCCAGTGTCCTGAGGAGCCAGGAGGCAGACAGGCCGTGAGGCCTCTTCATCTGAAGCAAACAGAGGCCTTTTGTATTTCCTGGCTTCGAGAAGGAGGTAATGCCAGGATAGGCCCCTCAGCTGCAGGTGTCTGCTACCCCTGAGGCCTTTCCTGATTAATTCAGCAAAGAGGCATGGCCTGAAATGACCTCGGGGACTTGGTAGTGAGACATGGTGGATTCTAATTAACAGCTATGAATGGACCTGGGGATGCAGAGGTGGAGAGGCAGAGGAAGGGCTCGGGACAGAGCTGAGGAGTATGGGGGCTCAGTACAGGGCATGTTCAAGCCCCACTTTCTTTATCTGTAAAACAGAAAAATAAAACTTATTTCATAGTGTTCTTGTAAAAATTCAATGACTTGTTTATAAAGTATTTTTCAAAATGTTTAGTACACAGGAAGCCTTCAATGTTGTTGTTATTGTCAGCTGCCATTGAGGTGATTTTGACTCATAGGGACCCCATTTATTACAGAGTGGAACTGCTCCATAGGGTTTTCCTGGCTGTAATCTTTACAGAACCAGATCACCAGGCCTTACTGCCACAGTACTGCTGGGTTAGAGTCAAGCACAAAACATTTATGCTGCCTAGGGAGCTCTGGTAGCATAGTGCCTAAGGCACTTGACTGCTATCCAGAAGGCTGGCTGTTCAAACCCACCAGCCACTCCTTCGGAAGGAAGATGGGGCAATCTACTTTCGTAGTGATACTGCCTCGGAAACCCAAGGAGGGGTCGCTATGAGTCAGGTCTGACTTGACGGCACATAACAACAACAACAACAGGGACCTTCAAGCCTTACATAACTGACAGTTATTATTTTTCTTGTTTTTGTGATAGATTACTGTTGTTGTTGGTTATTACCAGTTATTCTGTTACTATTATTGCCACCAAGAGGCCTTGAATGAAAGGAAACTGAAACCCAGGACCTATCCCCTAGGCCACAGCCTTGCAAACTTTAATGTACACACAGCTCTCCTGGGGTCTTAGTAAAATTCGAATTCAGTGGGTCTGGAGTGGGACTTGAGAGTCTGCAGTCTTAACTGGGTCACAAGTGATGCCCGATTGATGTGCCTGGTCCTGGGACCACAATTTGAGTAGCAAGACCCTACAACTACATTGTCCAATACAGTACCCTCTAACCACCTGTGTCCTCAAAACACCAGATTATTCTAAGGTACAGTAACATTAGTATAGTTGCTGCCATGTGATTAGATGAATTCATCTTGATGTAGTAGAAACGGAATTAGCTCTCATAATACAGTCTAATTTAATGGAATTAATCAAGCAATGTAGTCCAAATTGAGATGTGCTTGTAAATATAAAATGCCCATTGTATTTCCAGAACTTTGTATGAAAACAACGGAGCTCTGGTGACACAGTGGGTAAAGCATTTGGCTGCTAACTAGAAGGTCAGAAATTCAAACCCATCAGCTGCTCCATGGGAGGAAGATGAGGCAACCTACTTCCATAAAGATTTACAGCCTTGGAAACCTAATGGTGGTCACTATGAGTCAGGATAGACTCAATGCCAGTGGATTTTTGGTTTTTAGTATGAAAAAAGAATGTAAAATATATCTTTAATCATTTGTTTTTCATATTCATTACATGTTGAAGTGATAATATTTTGGATATATCTAGCTAAATAAAATGCATTAGTAGAATTTATTTCACTTTGTATTTATTTATTTATTTTCTTTTCTTAATGAAGCTACTATTGTTAGTTGCTATGGAGTTGATTCTGACTCATGGCAAGTCCATGTATTATAGAATAGAACTGCCTTATAGAGTTGCCTTGACTGTAATCTTAATGGAAGCAGATTGCCAGGTCTTTTCTTCCATTGGGTGGGTTTGAACCATCAACCCCTAGTTTAGCAGTTGTGTGCAAACTGCTTGCATTATCTAGGGATGTTTTTTGAGACCTGTTAAGGAGTCCTAGTGACATAACAAAAGGAGTGGTGGTGCAATGCCTAAGGTATTTGACTGCTAACCAGAAGGTTGGTGGTTCAAACTCACCAGCCACTCCACAGAAGGAAGACGGGGCAATCTACTTCAGTAAAGATTTACTGCCTCGGAAACCCAGTGGGGTCCCTATGAGTTGGGATTGACTTGATGGCAATGAATTCAGTTTTTCTGGCTTGAGTGGCACAACAATTAAGTGCTTGGCTGCTAACGGAAAGGTTAGAGGTTAAACCCAACAAGCAGTTCTGCAGGAGAAAAACTTGGCAATCTCTTCATAAAGATTATAGGTTAGAAAACCCTATGAGGCTTTTCTGCTCTGTCACATGGGGTTGAAATCAACTCAAAGACACCTAACAACAGTAGGTATCTTCTAAATACGTTTGGGGCTCACATTATATTTCTATTGGACAGTGTTGCCCTAGGGCCTTCTTAGGTTTTGTCATGCCCATTTAGAATTGGCCAAAAGCTGTTTGAGGGAGTACGTTTGAATGATTGAGCCTTGGGAAGTAGGCTCTGAGTTCAATAGAACTCCAGGGTCATAGACATCCTGAGGCAGTGTTGTATTACCCCCACTTACTTATCTGTAGTGAACGTTTTACATGTTTTTCACCAGGTAGTGAGAGGTGGATGGGATGGGCCTCAGGCTCAGAGAGGAGAACTGACTTGACAGAATCACACAGCAGAATTGAGCACAAGACTAGCCACCAGGGCTTACTGCAGCCTTCCCTCCAATTTCATCTATCTCCTTGATACTGCCTCAGAAACCCAAGGAGGGGTCACTATGAGTCAGGTGTGACTCGACGGTACATAACAACAAAACAACAAACCTCAAAACCCAGCATTCAGGTGACTCTCTCTGTCCTCTCTCCGGTGACAGGCAGGAGGCAGCACCATGAGACTGTGGCTGAGAGGGCTGCTCCTCCAGACCTTGAGGAATTCTCGAGGATTCTCAGGGCCCTCGGGACAGCTGCCCCCTGCACCTGTCCCTCATAAGATTGTGGCCACGTGGGAAGCCATCAGTCTGGGGAGACAGCCGGTGCCTGAGTACTTCAACTTTGCACATGATGTGTTGGACGTGTGGAGCCAGATGGAAAAGGTAAGCCACTTGTGTCCTACTATCCTTGTGGGCACCAGAGACTGACTGCAGGCACCCCCATGAGGCGCAAAGCTGTAGTACATGCAGATGTGGGCGTTACCCTGGTTTCCCCGTGTGTCTCTGTGTGTGCCTTCCTTCTCGATCCCCCCTTCCGTATGTGTCTGTTGCCTCTCTCTCTGCATTTTATGGTTACCTTTTACTTCTAGATAACTGATGCTAACTTTTTATTTAGACTAGGGGAATATATCATTTTATTTCAAATCTATAGACATGAAAAGTCTATTTGTGGTTGCCAGGGGCTAGGGATGGAAGGGAATAGGGAGTGACTTCTAATGAGGACGGGGTTTACTTTTGACATGATGAAAATGTTCTGGTATTAGATGATAGTGACAACTGCACTATCCTGTGACTATCCTAAACATAACTGAATTATACATTTTAAAATGGTGACTTTTATGTTATAAGAATTATATCAAAAAGAAAAGGAAAGGCACAGAACAGTGAAAATCATATGCTATCTTTTGTATTTAACAAGTGGGATGGAAAACAAGAATATACTTATATTTGCATAAAGAAGCACTAGAAAGATATGAAAGAAACTAATCAGTGTAGTTGTGCATCAAGGCTGGTGTAGATAAATAGGACACAGGATGGGAGAAACACTTCTCAATGTTTCGCAATACCTTTCCATATTGCTTTTATTTTGTGATTCTATGAACTATTGTAAAAAAAAATTACATAATATTTTTTTAATTTTTTTTTTTAAAGGCAAAAGTTTTCAGTGAACAATTTGTATTTCCTTTCTGCTTGTGTTGTTATCTAGGCTGGGTACCGACCTCCAAATCCTGCATTCTGGTGGGTTGATGGCATGGGAGCAGAGGTCAAGTGGAGTTTTGAGGAGCTGGGGAGGCAGTCTAGGAAGGCAGCCAATGTTCTGGGGAACATATGTGGCTTGCAACCTGGGGACAGAATGATGCTGGTGCTCCCGCGGATTCCAGAGTGGTGGCTGGTGAGCGTGGCATGTATGCGGACAGGTCAGTGTGCACAGCTGGGAATTTCAGTGAGAGCTACACAACCTGGCAGAGATTTTTTATTTGAACTCTATGGGAGAGTTTTCTTTAGTACCCCTCTGCTCAATAATCACACACTTGATTCTATACAGGAACCAGGCAGTGATGCAGATGAGGAAAGCAGGCTGAGTGTGAGGCAATAAGGAGTAGTGGGGACTGTAGTGAACTAAAGTCCATATGCTTCATCTAACAGGGGCAACTGCTTCTCAGCTCCAACACACACTGCTGGGAAGAAAGGACAGCCAAGGTTATTAAAGCTTCTGATTTTATTAAAGGTCCAAGTCTTAGTTTCTTTATCTGTACAATAGTTATGATAATATCTGCTTCCCAAGGTTGTAAGGATTAAGTGAAATAATGCAAAGCCCTTAGCACATGTGTCTCATAAAATTTTTCTAGATATCATTATTAATATTAATAAGATGTCAATAATATTATTAATATAATAAATTCAGCTCAGGCACTCCAACCCTCCTCATCCACTTTTTACCCCCATCTCCCAAGGAGGGTACTGGGTCTAGACCTCTCTACAGGAGTCTTTATCTTCCTCTGCTGCCCATTCATCATCTCCTCTCTTTGTGGTATCAGGGGTCGTCATGATCCCTGGGATCTCTCAGATGACAGAGAAGGACATCAAGTACCGGTTGCAGGCATCCAAGGCCAAGACCATTATCACTAGTGACTCCCTGGCTTCGCAGGTGGATGCCATTAGTGCCGACTGCCCTTCCCTCCAGACCAAGCTGTTGGTGTCAGACAGCACTCGGCCAGGCTGGATGGACTTTAGGGAACTCCTCCGGTGAGTTGGAACTCTCCAGAGCAGACACAATCATGAATCTAAGGCATTCCCCTTGAAACAACAAGAAATGGAATTCATTGCTGATTGCACACAAAGACAGTAAAGGAGAGAGGAACATCCACTTTGGTAGCCAGATAGATCTGAGGCCTAATCCACCTTAGCGTTAACATTACCCCTTTAATGTCTTGACATTGCTCAAGGTCACTCGCTCACTCCACTCACTCCGTACTGGATCTGTCACTAGCTTTTTTTTGTGCCGAATTTGCCTCTATAATGGTCGTCTTAGTTCTATAGTGCTGCTATAACAGAAATACCACAAGTGGATGGTTTCAACAAACAGAAATTTACCCTTTTACAGTTTAGGAGGCTAGAAGTCTGAGTTCAGAGTGCTAGCCCTAGGGGCTGGGTAGAGGTCCATCAATCTTGGGCTTCAGCTCTGCCTTCCAGGCCCACTGGAGCAAGCTGGAGGCTTCTCCTAACTCATGCAACTGCTGGCTACTGAGCCTGACAGATCCAAGATCAGCATGTAAAATGGCAAATTGTTGGCTCATGGGCTGTGAAGACAACAATCCCAAGATTGGCAGGCAACATGGCAGGCCACTGGTTCAAGACCAGGAACTGAAGATGAAGACTGAACCAAATTCAGGATCCTAGCCCCCTGGACTCCGGACGCAGCACGAAGCCATGGCTTCGGGCCTCGCGGAGGCGGACACCCGGCAGAGGCTGCTGCGCACCGTCAAGAAGGAGCAGTATTGTGATATAGAGAAGATGGCGGACTAGGCAGAAGGATTGCACAGACACTCTTCAACAAAGAAAAGGGAAACCAATTAACACAGACACAGAAGATAATCTTGGACCCCTGAGCCTTGAAGGAAAGGATGCAGATTTGGA